GGAGACTAGGGAGAAACAATTTATTATATAAATCATTTTAAAGGAAAAAAAATCTATTACTGTATACTAATTATCTTACAGGGTGTCCCAATAAACATGGGGACTAAAAGTCGTCTTTGATTTCTGATATTTAATGCATAGCAAAGAAAGTAAAAAAACGAGGCTGTATTTCTGACGAGCTTTTCATACAGTGGTCTATATATATATATACCTTTCTTTTGTCTTAAAAATTAACGAAGATATTAGACAATTTGACGATTTTTATTTAATAAATAAATTGAAATTTCTAAAAATTTCGCAATATTTCCGTTAATTTTGAAATTACAAAAAATGGTAGACCACATTTTGAAAATCTCAAAGGCGTTTTCGGATGATTAAGCTGGAATATTGCAATAATTGTGTTCATGAAAAAATGCTGCATGGATCGAAGACGATGGAAAAGTCGTCACTGAATTCCCATGTTTTTTGGGACACCCTGCATTATAATTTTCTCTTTCGATTGCATCCAGAATGAGTTTTTATCAAACTCATTTCAATCCACTTTAATTTTATTAATTTTTAGCTAGTAATAATTTCTTAGGTTACTTTTTCAGACAGTGGGCAACCTAACTGCAGTGGAGTAAATTATCGTCTTCATTTCATATCTTTAATTTTATAATGTAGCTAAGAACTTAGTCATTTGAAACAGAATTTTCTTGCAACAAAGTGCTCTGTGTCCGAATTTAAGCCGCGTTTTAAATCCCCCAAAAACCGGTTTCAATTGAGCGCCGGCTTAAATCTTGAAAAAATGAAAAACGGCTTTAGATTCTTCAAATTCGGCCTCTGACCTGTTACCATTTTTGTAAATATACCAGTTACAAGAATTGTCAATTTCAAAACACTTATATTTAAGTTAAACTATTTTGTTTATGTGAACCAGTAAAATCTGCTCAAAATGTCATGTTGCATGTAAAATAATTGGTTTCAACCAAAAAAATCAAAGAATTACAGGACCTCCATTCGTAAATAATATTTGCAATAATGCTTTTGTTTATATCATCTGATTGGAAATTCAAATATCCAAAAAAAAACTAAATTGGTTTTAATATTAAGGATTTAGTTTCAGCACAGGTTCTTCAGAAACGCCCGGATAATAGTTTAAAAAAATGGAATTTTTAATAACGTCTGTAATTGTTGGTGCAAAGAAAGTTTTTACCTTTTTAGTTGTTTATATTTTAAGTCAAAACATGGTTATATTTACAGTGCAGGGTTTTACTAAGAACCAGGTTGAAGAAATTGAGTAATTTCATTTAATTTCTTTTTTAAAACTTACATAAATAATCTGTTACATCGTATTCTAGTAAATACAATATTAACAACTGATGGCTCTGAATATACAATTACAATTTACACATTTAATTAATTGAATAAGTAATAATTGATAAAGCTGATTAATTAATAGATAATTAACAAAGTGCCCTCCGGGGATATCATTAAACAATTAACAATAGAGTTAGTTAGGAGGGTCTACTTAGAGAATAAAAACATACAGGGTTACTCAAAAAGAATGAGACTTCGGAGACGACTCTACTGAATTTATACCGTCTGTGTCCGAATTTAATGAATTTAAGCCACGTGTCATATCTCCCAAAAACCGGTTTTAATTCACCGCCGTCTTAAATCTTGAAAAATGTTATACAAATTTAAGTGGTTTAAATTTAATTTGAGCTGCGGCTTAAATTTAAACCACGGCTCAAATTCTATAATTTCGGCCTCTATTTCCTTAAATTTATGATTCCCTACACCTGTAAACTTAGTTCTTTCTTTTCTAAAGCCGGCCAATGGAAGACTTTATTCAAGGCAGTAGACTTAATTCTAACCCTATCCTATCCTTTATGGTTAACCCTAGCTGTAGCTTGGGGGGCGGGGGGGTTTAAGACAAAGTGAACTTTAGCACTATGTATTTTGGGATTTCTAAAATGTAAACTGTTTTTGTTTCACTTTCAAATTGACAGAGATGCGGTATTTCCCACCAAACCTGTCATTTTCCTAATTGTGAATTGATTTTGTATGAATACTATTACTGTAAGTAAATAGTAACCAGGACACAGTCCTTCAGGTGGACAGAATCGGCTGGGACAATACATACCGATCAACATTTTCTTTCAGTAAAACCCTTAATAACGAATACAACGAAAGAATTCATCAAATGTCGTATTCTTCACTTTCTGATAATGGAATGTTGCAGATATTTAGTTTTTTAATTAAATGATTATATGGAACTCTTTAAAACTGTTCCCGCATATTCATGGCTATTTATTTTCGTAATTACTGAAATTTACGTAGTATAGTATAAAACTAATTGAAAAATTGTCAAGACGACATTTGATAAATTCTTCCGATGTATTCGTTATTAAGGGTTTCACTGTAATTGATTTACCTAAATAGTAATTTTTTCAAGCAAACAGCAAGTATGCACTTTTAATAGCGCCAGGACTCTTCCACTATGGTCAGATGCTCTATCAATATTTCGCGACGTTCGCACTGTTGGTTTAAACTAGCTACTCAGTTTAAATATATTAGTCGCAGTGCTCGGCCCTTTTGTGGCCTTTGGCGCCTCAAAACGCATAAATGAAAAAAATATATTTGGAAATGTATTCTTTCTAAATTCTTTGGCGCATTTTTACAATTAAGATTTATATTTTATTCGATTTTACTTTAATTTTAAATCAATAGAGAATTTCGCATAGAAATTGAAAGTAAAGCTAAGTTTAGACCTAGCTATTGACTCATTATAACCGTTTGTTTTTTAATCTTCATGACAGAAACAATCTCAAGAACTGACGAGGGTCAACCCAGGGCCAGACCGAAATATATTTTCAATGAAATGTGGAATTAACATCTACTTTTTTTCTGCAGAGGCTTGGTCCATCACCAACACCGAATTTTAAATCAATATAAAACTCCACTAGAAATCAAGTTCTAGAAACCCTAGAAGAGGCTGGTTTTCTTGGATATAATGTCCCGGTTTGCCTTATATAGTCTGTATAGCATGCTTTAGCCTCTTAAAAATCTGCCCTGTACTTGAAATGAACCGGAGTTTATAGTGTATACAAATGAAGTACAAGACAGAGAGCACATTAACAATGGTCTAGTCCTGTAGCGCCATTTGTAACCCTCCCTCATCAGTTTTATTCGAAAACCCTTTTTTTTCTTACTCTCATATTTTGATAAACTATCTTCAGTTTGATATCTTTCTATGGAAAATGAAAAAACAATATTTGATGGACTGTAAGAAACTAAAGCTTCTGGGAAAAGTCCATGTGTAAAATTCCTTTATACAAACAACTTGCAGGTACAGGGTGTCCCACGAAACATGACAGTTGGTGAATAGCTTTAAATGTCTTATTCTATATTTTGTTCAATACCAAAAACAATAATAAAAATACTATATGGGAGTTATGTTATAGTAAGATTGATTTCAAAGTAAAATATATTCAAGCAAAAGATTTGTTTAACAAAATGTACTGCGAAAAGCCTTTAATATCTAACACAGTGTATGGAAGACGACATTTAAAACTATTCACCAACTGTCATGTTCCCTGGGACACCCTGTATTTTCCAGGAATATTATTTCAATATTGACATCAAATATTTAATATATCAAGAATTACATTAAACTTCAGAGTTTTCATTCAAAATGTAAATGATGAAAATCTAGTACTATAAGTGTCAATTTAAGGCAGGGAGTAAGGAATAGAAGGGAGATATAACTGACGCGGTTCGCCCCACCATATGATTATACATGCTTTGCAGACGAGTACTCCATTTGTATAAGAAATATTCAGAAAAGGTTATTGTATACGCAGTAAATGTACATCAGACAAATCCTTCTTATACAAATGGAGAACTCGTCTGCAAAGCATGTACAATCATATGGTAGGGGGAACCGCGTCAGTTATATCTCCCTTCTATTCCTTACTCCCTGATTTAAGGGCATGCATATTCCAATTTTAAAGGTAAATGAATTTCAGAAATCGACCAATGAGAGGTCCGGAATTTTTTAACATTAGCCAAATAGAAGTCAACCTAAAAGTTTAATTTTAAAGCTTCCAAATCAGGGAAAAGGAATAAAGGGAAAGGAAATGACGCTGTTCTGGCATGAGAAAGCCATTAGCACTGCTTTGCAGACAAGTTCGGTAAACCTTACACACACTCTTTTGGTACAGACACACAACATTACTACAGTCAAGGAAATTGCAGAACAATGTTCTTGATTATAATAAAGCTTGAATAACGACTAGTTTATTGTAAATTTTTATCAAATTATATTCTTTGCATGAAAATTTGGGTTATAGTGTTGACTTAAAGATGTAAACAATATATTACATTTATATTAAACTTATTTTTAAGTAAACAATAAACAAATGTACTCTCCTAGACTGTACAAATGCCGAGATTCGTATGTACTGTATATACCTACTATACACACCTTCGGTTCGGTAAACTTTACACACACTCTTTTGTTACAGACGTTACATGACGTTTCCACCCCCTGGTACAGACACACATACATGACGTTTTAACCCCCTGGTACAGACAGACATTCATGACGTTTCCGCCCCCTGGTACAGGCACACATACATGACGTTTCCGCCCCCTGGTCCAAACTCAGAACTTTTGCGTTGTGAATCTTGGGTTCAAGCGTTGATCTCCATCTTATGCAGACCTACGGATAAATTATCATTTGATGGTCATAACCTGAATCGTTAAGATGAAGGATGCGAAGAAATGTCTAATTCACAAGTGCCCACATTGGATATCGAAAACAAGCGATCAAAGTTAAGGATACTCAACACAACCCCCAGCTCAGGTCAGTTTAGGTAATACAGGTTTTTGTTAGACCACCAAATCATTCTGAACTGTCCCTTCTAGTTCAGTTTTCCACTTTAAAGTTTTAGCATGGCGTTTAAACTGTTAAAGGGTTTAAATAAGTTTTACTGTTTATTTTACTCAGCGGGATCTCTTTCATGTTTATTTTATTATTTTATAGCCGGGGATACAGATCCAGTTCAAACCGAATTCAACAAGAATTTAACATTGTTATGTCGTCATCTATAAATAAATCAATCAATCAATCAACCGTCCGACCGACCGATGAATCAATGTTACACTTAAAAATTAAAATAAAATATAAAAAATGTATCGACTTAAAATCTAATGTATATGCAAATTGAACAAGTAAAAATTTTAACTGTTCAATATTTTATCCATGTTTTTTTTTCTTTCAATGATTCCGTTTTTTGGATATTGTTTTGTTTTGTTGATGAGGACATCGTAGAATGTCGAAGATATATTTACTGAAAAGTGGTTTGGCCGTTCACCATCTATCAAAAGATAAGAAAGAAATATTATGAATTAAGAACATAGTAAGGCAGAAAAATAGATTTTTAACAATGTTGGGAATACAATTTATCTGATTAGTTTATTATTAAAGTACAAATTTTCATATTTATGGTTACCAAAATAATAGGTTAATCTAAGTACATACAAATTACATATGTACTTTTTAACTATAAATATATATAGCTTATCAAATAACAAATTTAGTGCAAGTGTAAGTATTAAGGTCCATATCAATGGCAGGGGTATACATCTTAAATAATAACGTCGAAGCTCCGGAAGGAAAACAATTTGAATGTCCTCAATTTTATATTTCCCCAATACAGAAACATCAAATTCAGGGATTAAAGAAACAAACTGGGGAATTTTTTTTCATGAGGAAGGGGGAGAGAGGGAAATTAAACGATTTAATAGAAAATATATACATTTGAACTATGGTTAATATCAATTTCAGCAGCATCTAAATTAAAAGAAATTTGATAACTTTTTTAAAAACTTTAAAAAACCTTTTTTTAAATTTAAAATCTCCGATAATTGCTTGTGAGTAGAGTTAGTTAGGGTTAGTTTTACCTATTTGTAAATGTGAGGTTAGTTGTAACAAGTAGATTTAAATGCTAATAGTATTCATCTGGAATGCAAAATGTTCCAGTATTTCAAAAAAAAGCTACAAATAGATATTTTGTTCAAGCTAAAAGTAAAACATGATCGGAGATATTGTAGAAGTATCTTATCCTTCCTTTTCAAGAAGTTCTGATCTAGTCACGGATAAATTCAAGGAGCTCAGCGTATCTCCGCATTCCTCCACACTATCTCTAGACTCTGACAATATGCTTAAACTTGTTGGAAGAGCGATCAAGGACGCTTCTAAACATCTCCAGTAATCCTGGTGAACCTCTAGAACCTCTCTCAGGGTGTCAACTACATCAGGACGGAGCGGAGCAGACAGGTCTAAGCTTGGGAGCGGATCCCCTCTCAACGCTCGTCCACACATATACATGCACTCCGATATAGATCCAAGGTTGTATCCGCCTTCAAGAGCAATTACAACCCGACCCTCAGCCAGGGCGGATAGATGATGGGTCATGTGTCCATACATCTCCGGGCTAACCTTATATCCACCCAGGGGATCTCCACGTGCTGCGTCGAACCCAGCTGACACAAGAACTAGATTTGGAGAGAACTGGTACGCTACAGGTAGAACTATATTCATAAATGCCAGGAAGTACTCTAGGTCCCCGCACTTCTTGGAGTTCCAAGGAATGTTTATATTGAACCCTTCACCAGGTCCCTCTCCGACCTTGTCTACCCCAGCGTCCGAGCTTCCCGGGAAAAAGGACCCCTGGTCGTACCGATGGATGGAGATATAAAGAACTTTGTCTGAGTTGTAGAACATGTGTTGGATTCCGTTCCCGTGGTGCACGTCCCAGTCCAGGATAAGGATTTTGTCCACGCCGTGCACGGAGCGCGCATATTCCGCAGCAATTCCCACGTTGTTAAAGATACAGAAACCATGCGGCTCATCCTAGAATATTATTTTGAAACACAGATCACAACAGAATTAATCTCCAGATTCCGACGAATTATTTTCTAAAACTTCAGAGAAAGATTAAAACCGGAAATCTGGAATTCATAGGATAGATAAAATCCACGAAACGGCTGAAAGGATATTCTATTAGCACTAGGGTTCGAAGAATCGTTTGATTTGATACAGAGATGGAATTTAGAAAAGGTGAGATGTTTCATGGAATTTCAATAATGGATGATAAACAAGTTTCCAGAAGGATAGAAATAGAAAGGATAAAATAGGGAAATTCTTGAATAAGATAATAGTGAAGTCAGTCAGGGAAAGAGAATACGTCCTGTAGAGCAAAAATATACCTGTTCTGCATGATGTCCTGGAGGACGAACGACAGCAAGTCCTGCTCTAGAGTCTTGTAGGACGGAATCCACAACACTAAGAACTCCACCAGCAGACAGGAGCCCGCAGTCCCAGCTGTACTGGTTTAAATATATGGAGTTAAAGGTCTCGGCTAGTTCATCCCTGTCCGTCTCATTTATTGTACACGTCATCAACATTCCATCCCTACACAGGACACAATACATAAACTTGATTCTTTTTAAGCAAGTAATTAAATAGGTCATTAATAGACTATTTTAAAGGAAGAAGATTTGATTTAACCTGAACATCGTCATTCTTAAAGAGTTTCAAATCGTCTTTACATTATCTTTTTTAGTGAGTAACATTGCAGGTCACTGGGTAGGTCTAGATTCACTTTATATGGCAACCGCCTTAAGGAAGTTACATCTGGGTCGGGTTAAAATTAGGTTAGTTTCCATTAGGTTGGTTTACATGACACACCATTAGTTTCCTTTATGTAGTTTTAAAGGGTTCCATTGTGATTCGGACAGGTAACTGTTTAAATGAAGGGTCTCCTAAAATTAGGGTGACGGTCCCTTGAAAGTGTAAACCTGAATGTTGTTTTCCTCTAGTATTTGATCAACTAATGTATCAAATACTAAACTTTGTATCTGTATCAGTAGAACCTAGATCAAAATTCATCACAGAAAATACTGTGCAGGTCTGAGCTCGGAACTTTAGAGTAGATCGCTTGATCTAGATATCCACTGTGAGCACTTTTGATTTGAAGATCTATAAAAAACTAGACCTTTCAATATCTTCATTTTAGTATTCCTCCCCTGATCAAAACACCCTTCAATCCTGACAGGTTACGATTACAATGCATTGCAGGGTGTCGAATAAAGATTAAGTTAATATGAAGATTAACAAATGTGGGTGATAGGTCTACCAAGTTTCAACAAAATCTGCAATTATTGATGTAAAATCTGATAACATGCAAATTTTCTATATTTATTACTTTAAAAATGCTAATTTGCCAATTGAACTCTACAACCGACCAGAGTTGAATTACAGGATCGGCAGTTATTATGGTCGTCCGAAGGATTAAATTATTTCCTTTTGGATATTCCGTGGTCTTGTTTAAAAGTTGCTACCGTGGATATCGAGATCAAGCGCTGTCTCACACAAAAGTTCAGACCTTTTAGAATTGTGGATATCAAGATCAATGCTTGATCTCCTCTTTCTGTTAATCTTAAGATTACTTAATCTTTAGTTTGTATCCAGGAAAGTTTCTAAAATTAAACCAATCAGAGTGGTGCATGCAGAAACCCGAACAGCCAATCAGAAGCCGGAAAATTTGAAATTGTTCGCGCCATTTAATAAGAGAATGCTCATTGGTAGGAATACCGTGGGGATATAAATAAAGGAAAAAAGCTAACTAAGCAGAAATCAAAAGTGTCCACAGTGGATATACAGAACAATCGCTATATGAGTTAAGGGTATCCAGATCTATAGTTTTCAGCTCCGACAATCTTAACCAGGATGAAACCTGCTGGCCTAGTTTAATGAGAGCTTACCAATGATCTTTAGAGTGTACGAGAGTTGCCTCTTCTTCAGTTAGTTGGCGTCCTTTCATTACTTCAACAACATCATCCTGATCAAGGAATCCGGTCTCCTAGTAATATCAATTTTAATGATACTTGTTTTATTCAGCTGGGGGGATGTTTTAAATATTTCCCCCCCCCCCCCAACTGATAAAAAAGTTTTTCAATTCTTTAGAAATATAAGTGAAAACATGGGAAATCTACTCGCAACCTGTTGGATTAATGAATAAATAATCTTTTTGCCTAAAAGCTCATATTCACTATTCAGCAACAAAACCTTTCAAAATTTAAATGTAATGGGAAAACAAAATTTAAAGAAAGTTTTTAAAATTGTTTAAATTGTTTACCAAAAATAGAATTTTTTGATCTGAATCGAACCGATAAAAATATTTCAGTTCTGTGACAAATTTCAAAAATATCTCAGCGCTAATTAAATTCTGAAAACATTTTAGATGAATTAAATGATGTGCCTACAATTCGAGAAATGAATTTATTTATATTTAAATTGAATGAATTCCGACAAAAAAATAACTATTTATAAAAATTTCTCGTTTTTAAGAAAAATATTCATGAACAAAATTATACCTTATGACTAATATATTAAACAAAATATAACCTTTAATCTTTCGTATATTCTCTGTATTCTCTCTGGGCACTCTGGATGCGGAGAATCGTCTCGATGCCTGCACATGTCCTCGTCGTACATCAGGGACACCCTGCTCTCCGTCCTTCTCAACCTTGTCGACACATTGATGTGCGCAATCTCCAGTTTCAGCTTGGACTCTGTCTCCGGGTCGAACACGAGGTAGTAATCTCGGGTTGGAAACTTCTCCGGGGGAAATCCGTCCGGCGGATGAAAAGCCAAGGTTGGGTAAAATTTATTCAAGATCGATGTCTTTTCCTCCGCCCCCAGTTCGTCCAGTTCAGGGCGGAGCTGCATGCACTTCCAGTAAGGGCGGAGAGCAGCGGTGACTCCAAGAATAGATTTAAGTACGCTTGGAAAAATGGCAGAGGTTCTTGGCAGGGACGGAGTACAATCTCCTAAAAGAATTTTCAAGGTGAGCGCGGCGGACTCTGAGAGACTGTCAAGGCAATATCCACCCTCAAGCATAACAACCAACCGCCCCCCGGCCAGCGCACTCAAGGCGGATACGATATGAGCGTATGCTGCAGGAGTAACACGCATACATCCCTCTGGGCAACCTATAGCTGCGTCATAACCTTAAAAAAAATGTTTTAAAACCTTGCATGAACTCTATTAATATTACAGGGGATATGATTGTTGACGATTTTGGGGAAAACATGAAAAATGGGTCATCAAAAGATAAGTATTACCAAATTCAACAAAAAGAAAAACTTTTAAGAAGATCTATCTAATTTGCGGGGGAAAAAATTCAAAAGGAGAGTGGGATGATTTACACCCCTATAATATTACCTGCAGAAACAAGAACTAACTCAGGGTTATATTCTGTCGCTATGGGAAGAAACACTCTGTGAAAGGCCGCCAAATACTCGTTGTTCCCGCATCCTATCACATTGAGCGGAATGTTTACATTGAACCCAGCTCCAGCCCCGGCTCCGACATGATCAAAGTTAGACTCCCGGAGATGCGGCCAGAATCTTCCATCCTCGTATCTATGTATCGACATGTAAAGAACACGTGGATCATCATAGAACGCCCTCTGAGTTCCCTGACCGTGGTGAAGATCAAAGTCGACGATTAAGATTCGTTTCAAGCCGGAGTTCAACGCTTTCTTTGCCGCTACAACTACATTATTGTATCCACAGAATCCGTTTAGTTCGTCCGTCATAGCGTGGTGGCCGGGGGGACGAACCAATCCCATCCCACAATGAATTTCTCCGGCCAAGACGGATTCGACCAGATCAACCGCCGCACCCGCCGATAGCCGGGCAGCAACAGCCGTATCCGGGCAAAGATAAACAGAATCATAGTTTTCGCAAATTTTCTCGCTTTGCTCGCTACTCATGGTTCGACTCTTCTCGAAAATATCAATAAACTGCTGGGAATGATAGAGAAGGAGTTCGTAGTTCTCCGCCTCCCTACTAGGGAGCAGTTTACATCGTTCTACCAGATTCAATTCCTCACACCTACTCCAGATTCGGCTCAGACGTTCCGGAGATTCTATATGATGCTGGTCCCAGGAACAGTGATGGAGTAACATCCTGGAGTCATAAACCAATCCTGAAAATTATCATTCATCAATTCATCAATTCAATCAAACGTTTATTGTAAAATATACATTATTCATGAAACCTGTGAAGCAAAGACAAGCTTCTTATAGCTTTGTATTTGAAACAAGAATAAATGGAAATGAGAAAATTAAAGATTGATAATAAAGATATGTAGTAATATCCCTATAAATCAAGAATCTAGATGTAATCAGAAAATGGAGTAACCCACAAGAAAATGAATCTAAAGTAGTGTTAGAAATATGTAAATCCTGAATGAAAGACAGGATTAATAATATATAAATTGATATTGATTAAACTTTAGTTTGGACCTGTTGGTTTTCTATAAGTTCCTAATCTATTATCCGTCCTCTCCTCCTTCTCCTTTTCTTTCTTGGCCTTCATTTCCGCTAAACGTGCCGATTTCATCTTCTGTAACTCCGACATTCCTCCGACCGGAGCTCTTGAACCCGGCTTTACTCGGGGAGAAGATCGAACCTGCTCAGAGGGTTTAGCTCCAGGTCTATCTGGAGTATTTACTCCAGGTGCAGGATTCACCTGCTTATCTAACCCCTCCTTATCTCCCATTCTTCATCTGTAACAAACGTAATAACAATAAATGAAAAACAGTGCTGGACGTGTAAATGCATAAAAACAATCTGAAAGTATTTCTGCAAAAGAATTCAATTGCTCAGATTCTAGGAGGAGTAAATTAGAAGAGTGGACAGAAAAACTAATTGCATTCAATCCACTCCTGAGATCAATTTGCAGTGAGGAAGTTGCAATACTGTGAAGCAGAGGTGCATATTTTCTTAAATTTACCCCCAGGGGAGGGGAGGGGGGGGGGAGGGNGGGGGGGGGGGTGAGAATTTTTCCCAAGGAATAATATACCCCTGAGAAAGGATTGGGATGGAGTGTCAGAATGGACAAGTATGCCATTTATTTGAACTTGTTAATGGTACCAAAAGATTGTATTACAGGAGGAGTAATGAATGTGTGGTGTGATAAAATACTAGTTTTAAGGAAATTGGAACTATGGGTTCTTTTTATTCGATCTTTAAGACAAAATACATTCGAGAAAATTTGTACAAATGACTGGTTTTAAATTTACATTTGTTTTAAAGAATCAAATCAAATCAAATCAAATCAAATCAAATCAAATCAAATCAAATCAAATCAAATCAAACTTCAAGAATATACTAAGTACTCCTATGGAAAAGTTCTAAGGAATACGGTATATTTTACTGGGTTCGAAATATGTGGTAATTTTACAATTAAAGTAGTTCGAATAATCTTAACAATCACAGGCCGGAATTTTTTATAGCTAATGCGCTCGATATCACCAGCCGAAACATTAATTTGAACGGATAACGTGCTTGATCCGTGAAAATCAGCGGACTCTTTTTATTCGCGATGTTTTCGAGAGTTTTTTGTGCTTCTGATTAGTCAAAGTAAAAAAAAACTCGGATTAGTTCTGACGAGACGATAAAATTCGTATGCGACATTTGCGATTTACGTATATCATCTATTTTGAAAATAACACAATTCTTTAATTTGATTTAACTTATTCATCTCAAGGGTATAATAAAGTTATTTTTTAATTATCAAATACGAATAATTTAACAACTTTATTGTTGTAGAACGTCTTTGGTATTTTAAGAACAAGTGCGCAGCAGACAATTACTCTAATTTAACTTAATATCACAGAAATTCATCTTTTTCAACTCCATACTTATCGAGCCAAGTTTTAGAAATTTTAGAGACCTCTTTAGACATTTTAGAGTTCAGATCTTGACATTTTAGGACCTCGGCTCAACTTCTTCCTGGGCTTCTTGGTTTGTGGAGGGGGGTCTTCGAACCGTTTTGTAGGAGTACGCTTTACCCTGTTTATACCAAACAACCTTGTTTATATTAAAAAAAAATTTTGTCGCAAGGAAATTTATTTTTTGGGGGGGGGGGGGTAAACTTAAAATAAAAATTACGTTTTTTTTGGAATATATATATATATATATAAATATATATATTAGTTATATTTCAATTTTTTTAACAACAATGTTTAAACTGTTTGGGGAGAAATAATTTAATTGAGGGAAAAAAATTCCCTTATCAGTTCTCCCCAGCATTAAAAAAATCTTGGGGGAAAGGTTTGAATCTTTAAAATAATTACACCGGGAAAAAAGATATAGGAAGGTTCTATGTTTTCCTGTATGGATTATGATACTCCGGGACCCTGTCAATCAGATTAATCTCCTGCGCGCACAGATTCAATAGTTTTCGCGTTGTTTCATCCAACATCTGAAGATCCATCACATAGCCAACACTCCAGCGCACAGTCAGCTCAAGCTCCTTGCGCGCACTTAGTCTCTTCTGAACATCGTCAGGGAACCTAGACATGTTAGATCATAAAATCCGCCAAATAAATTGGATTGCAGAGTACAGAGCACAGAATAGAGTACAAAGTGCAGAGTACAGAGTACAGAGTACAAAGTACAGAGCGCAGAGCGCAGAGCGCAGAGCGCAGAGCGTAGAGCGCAGAGCGCAGAGCACAGAGTACAGAGCTCAGAGCGCAGAGCACAGAGTACAGAGTACAGAGTACAGAGTACAGAGTACAGAGAACAGAGTACAGAGTGCAAAGCGCAGACTACAGAGTACAGAGTAATGCAGAGCGCAGACTACAGAGTACAGAGTACAGAGTACAGAGCACAGAGCGCAGAGTACAGAGCACAGAGCACAGAGTACAGAGTACAGAGTTCACCATAAATTGAAAAGCCTAATTATCGAAAGTTTTACTCCAGAAGGTAAAAATTCATTTCAAACTTTACAGCTGACTATCGGTCTTTTTTATCATTTCACGTATCAAGTATGAATAAGATAGGCATGTTTTTGTTTGTTTAAACTGTTAATTTTCATTTTTAGTTTATCTGCAAAAGTGACTTGTGCATTTTTTGTTTACAAAAACAATAGATAAAATAGCAATAAACGCTTCTCGAGCCACAGATTAAGGTTACCGTTGTAGATTGCTATCTTTGCATGAAGGGTCACTTAAAATTACGCTAACAGTCCCTTTAACTAACTAAACCTTAGAAAAATTTCTAATGACTAGACAATTAGTGCGCTTTGCATCAATCTTCCATTTCCATTGTGAACATGTTCTCTTTGTGTACACTGTAAAACAAAAACAAAATATTTCGTGGATTTTCAAAATTTTCAAAAATAGAATTTTGATGGAGGCAAAATTTTGAAAATTCGGTCATCCATAAAACTTCGCTGGGGTCAGGCGAGGATCCACAAAAAAATAGACCCGATTGGTTCAGCCGTTTTGAAGTTTATTGGATTCAAACGGACAGACATCCAGACAAGCAAAGTATATATATTGATGGTTTAAATATTGCGATTGCGGATCGTAATAAAAAAATATGTTTACCTAAGCGTAATATCACATAATAAGCAAGAGTTCTCTAGAAGCAGTGATAAAGCTTCTTGAAGAGGTTTCTCACTCGGGAACTGTTCTCCAGGTATATATCCAGAGTTCTCAATATTAGTCCTACTCCGCGACATCACCTCACCAATCTTGGCAGTCACCTGATCCAGGAATACTATCTGCTTATCGGCATCTTAAATAACAAAAAAATAGATGTTTTCTCACATTTCATTAAATAAAATTTGTTTACCTAAAGCCTGAATGTTTTTAACTGCGCTCAGCTGCTCCCTTCGTTTAGCGAGAAAAAGCTGAAGAAAAACTTCCGGGGATAGTTCTTGACAGAAACCAACACTAAATCAATAGTCAACTGTCCACAATTCATTATTCTAAAAATTTGGAGCCGTTTAAACATAGTTTTCCGCCTTTTTTTAATTATTAGGGGTTTGCGCATTTTTAAAACCCCGAAACATAATTAAAAAATTAACAATTTCATTGAATCTTTAACATTTTGGCTTTTTTTAACATGTTTGTAATATTAATTTTTCTACGGAAGATTAAAATTTAAATTGAAGTAAACAATATTCCTGCATAATATAATTAGAATTAAGTTTATAACCAGCAAGCTCAACGCATCTTTTAATCTCATTTTTTCTGAAAAAAAATTTAATATCAAATTTCTATTCCGACTTCTTCTTTTTCTTCTTCTTTTCCTGTGCAGGAGGAGTTGTAACTTCTAGTTCTGCATTCTTTCTTTTCTTATTCTTCTTCTTCTTGTTTTCATCTTTATAAACCTGTGTAGTGTCAATCAAAAGATCAGAGAAAGAAGGAATAGCATCATCTGCTTCCGCTGCTTCCATCTTCTTCTCCTTTCTTCTCTTCTCAGAGTCTTTGCTCTTCTTCTTCTTTTTCTTCTTCTTGATCTCTTGAGGTTCACTTGTACCATTCGTTTCCTTCTTCTCTTTCTCCTCCTGGGGAACAACCTCAACCTTGACGTCGTAGTAGGAGAGAACCTTCTTCAAGCTCTTCTTCACGGGGTTGTTCCCCCGTATCCCAAGAGAGGATTTAGCATAGACCCTGAGATGTTCTTGAACCTGTTTAATAGTCTTAGCTGATATCAAGTCTTGTTGTTTAACACCCCGTAGGATAGAAAAGATCTCCATCAGCTGTTTAGGTTTTGCCTTCTCTAGCCCACCATCTATCAATGTCAGGATTTTCTTCATTGCATCTTCTATCATGATCTTCTTCTTCCCAGGGGAGAGGGTCTCGATTTGTCGATTATTGACAAAGGCCGAAAGGATGGATAAACCTTGACTTCGACGAAAATGCCGTACCTTGGGATCGAACGATTTCTCGGCAACAACTGAAAATAAAAATTATGAAGAAAAAACTTCGAAGCAAATAATTCTTTTTATTCTGGGGGGGGGGGGGGTTTTTACCTTTTGCTAAAGAGATAGATCCTGTCCATGGTATTCCAACAGCTGCCTGGAAAACTTCAGGACTCAACAAACACTGATTATTCTCAAAAAACTGTGTGAGCGCTGTCAGGTAAAGCGCTTCCGACTGCTCCGCGTTGTCAGGAACAGCAATCCGGAGCGCGGTTAAGCAAAGGCGCGCGTGAATGATTCCAAGGCTGACAACTGTACTGCTCGCGTTGGTCCCGAGGTTGAGAAGATACTCGAGCAAGGGGTTGCTATCGAACCCTTGACAGGACTCGAACTTGACACTGCTGCACTTTCGAAGGATAAGTTTAATCCTTGACACAAGCTGGGCCTCACGAGGTTGCGTAAAGATGTTTTGGAAGCTAAAAAATATGGATTTAAAAATTGTAAAAATTCTCTCTCTAGAATTTTATAGATTGATTACGTTATTGAAATATTAACAGATGTTAATATACACTGCAAAAAAAGAAAGCTTAAGTATTAATTTCTTTATTTTACTAGTGGCCTTAATTTGGCATATGTGAATTGTGTTTTTGTCAAACATCCTGATTTTCTATTCCCTATATCTTTGTAACCCGAGGTTGTATTTTTAACTATGAATCTGTTGAATTAAATAGTCTAAGTTTATCATAGGTTTACACTTTACGCATTAGATTGCAAAAATATAGCAATTAAAAAGAGTTTGAGGAAAAAACTCAGTTCCTTTATAGCAAATAATCTGGAATCCAAATAAAAATTTGATTTTAATTTCAAATATATTTCTAGCAAGGAATGCAACTTTATTCAAAGAATCAATAAAAGAGAAAAAAATTTAATGTGAAAAAAAGATAAAAGATGATATTTTTTTTCCTCATTAGTTTACCTTTCAATGAGTGCAGATATGATTGAGAAAATATGTTCCACGGCTGGTTTATGATTAATATATATCTCTAGCAGTTCAAGAACTCGGAGTTTAAAATGCTGACGAGCAAGATGATCCAGTTTTTCTTTCTTCTTCTCAGAACTTGACTTTCCACCTCCCAGAGCCTAAATTGCAATCATTAATATTATCAAATTATCAACCTTAGACGAGAATTTAAAACTGGATGGAATAAATTGTCCTCCGTGGCGGGTAAAGAAACTCATGATTAAACCAATTAAAAATCGAAGAGTTTAATTTAATTCGTACATATACAAGTTTCCTAGAAGTTTTCAAAAACTCTATAAAGTAGGAAATCCGCGAATTTTCAATAGACAAAATGTGTACCTTGAAAGCCTCGACGAGCTTCTTGTCAAGGTTGTCCATGTCCTCATCGGGGATATCGTCCATATCGATATCACTGTTCTCGGCATCGGCGTGCTCCCCGAGCGCCTTCTTTACCTTGTCCAGATCTTCAGGTTTCATCTCTTCATTCTCTTCCTCGTTCTCATCCTAAAATATGTTAAAAGCTATTTTTACTGGTTTCATCTTATTTTTTAAATGAATGTGCCGGAGGACGATGGGATGAAAAGTAAGTTTAATCTATCAAAATAAACGCATAAAATCTTACATCATCATCTGAATCCTCCTCTTCATCCTCACCAGATTCCTCTTTCTCCTCTTCTTCATCTTCCTCATCTTCATCTTCATCTTCATCTTCATCATCATCTTCATCCCCACTCTCTTCTTCGGCCTCTTCAGGGCAAAGGACGGCAAGAATGGAAGCTAGAGCAGGCTCCGTGAGTTGATCACAGACGACCTTGAAAACAACATTGACGAGCTTCCTGAGAATATGCTTGTTCTGCGCCAGCAGGGACAACATGATCTCTATTACAACCTCGATACCGGCAGGATCACCTGAACAAATATTCATGAAATAGTGTCTTCAAAGGAATGTGTATTGTTTACCCAATTTGAAATGAACCTTTACTTAAGAACTATCAACAATTCACAATGATACCCTTAACCATTTTATTTTAGCAACGAACTAGTTGGGTTCTCAAAATAAATTGGTATACACCCAAAATATTTTCTTGTTCATCATAGCTGCAGCGAAGAGTTTTATAGAAAAGTTACAGCACCAGGATTTAAAATTATGACAGAAAAAACGTAAAACAATCTTCGCAAAAAACAAATTAAAGTTTGAAGTCAATGAAATGCTTAAAATTAACATCTTCCTTTAAACATTACAAATACAACTTTTGAAAAAGAATTGAACACTTGTGATAACCCTTAGTTGGCTAATCAAATTATCTTTGCAACCTGATATAGTAGACTTAACATTTCAAACGATGGATTCTTATCAATCAATTTTAGTTAAAACATCTAAGGTTTACATCATCGTTTAGAAAGATTTAAAAATTAGTTTGAGGCAAGTGTTTAGTTTCTTTGTTTAATCGCGCCAAGTACAGATCTCATATAATTCAATGAAAATACATAGACCGAACCTTTGGCAGGTTTTGATTTGCTCCAGTTGGTGTAAACGGGCTGGAGTTCAGAGAGTACATCAATCGCCATCTCCGGTTGGATAAACAGCTGTAATCCAATGTGAGAGAAAAACATGAGGAAAACTCCGGTCTCTTTTGTCGCCTTCTCTTTCCATCTTTTCCCTAGTTTCCCAACAGTTGAGACAACCTTTGCCCAGGCCTCTTTACAATCTTCTTTCATGGTTTTCTGTGGAACTCCTTGTTTCTCCAGGAGCTTCTGAGCATGCTGGAGAAGAGCATGGACAAGGTTCACATTATCCACTAACGTTTTACAGGTTGAATCAAGTCCACGGTAGAAAACCTCTCTGAGTTGTATCTTGGCCTCCTTGGTAAGCTGAGGTGTTTTATCTCCGGTTACCGTAATTAACGTCAGCTCCATAAGAGAGGATAGGATTGAAACTCTCCAGTCTACGCTAGAAATTACGGAAGGATGACCGACAAGCTTAGCGAGCAGACCTGCCGCATATATTCTGTCTGAAACCTGAACGTCAGATTTGAATATTTGAAGAAGATAATCTCCGGCTTTAAGGAGGGTGTCACTGTCGGAGAGGGAGAATAGGAAGGTAACTGTGTTTCCAGGAACATGCTTATCCCAACAAACTGACGCTTCAAGAAACCTAAAAAAAAATCTTGTTAAAACAAATCTAAAATAAAAAAAAACTGATATTGAAAAGGATGAATGGGAATGTACTTGAGAAGATTTTTAGGTAAACAATAAATGAAATGGAAATGGATTCTAAATAAAGTTACAGTGTAAAGAAAATACATTTAGCAGTCGGAAATATGGTCAAATATAAATATTGGTTTTGTTTTATAATTTCAAACTTCCTATAAGTATTAAAAACTATGAACAAATACTCGTGTAAAAGGCTCACAGCAGTTTTTCTTAGAACAAATAATTATTGAGTCAAAAACCTGGAGAGCATAACCCAGCAGTTTGCTTTTTCCTGCTTCACGGTCTCCTCCACCATGTCCAGGATCTCGACCACGGGGTTGACCACACCCTTCCCACACAGGGAGAGCAGAGACTTCAACGTCTCCACGCTGACCAGATCCTCGACCATACAAGGATCGTTTTTCAGAAACTCACTAAAAAAGTCAAAAATTTGGGATTTTTAATTTATAAAATATTTTTTTCCTGGCTGAGAGCCTTTAAAAAATAAAACGGGTCGCTGAGTTTGTGGTTCATTTGCTTAGAATTCTATCTTACTGAATAATGTTCAGAAAAAAATCTTTAATTGCAGTTTCTGTTAAAAACGCCACTGGAAAAAAAGTTAAATTGTTTCAAATTTGATTGAATTCATTTTTCTTGTTAAAATTGAATATCTTTTAGTATAAGTATCTAATCTTGATCTCATGTTAAGGATAATCTGACAGTTTTCTGTAACTTCTATAAATCAAATTGGTTGAAACTAATTGTACTCTTTCTTCCATCTCTATCCCTCAGTAAGCAACCTCTGAATGAGTTCGACTCATAAAACAGATTAAAATTCAAAAGTTGCAAGGTCAACTAGATCTAAGAACAGATATTTAAAAAGGAGAAAATATCGTCTAAACCTCAGAGGCCTTTATCTTGTATCTTATCCCTGATTATCAAATTTCTCAATCTGAAAATCCAAAATACAGACATTTACGAGAAAAGGAATTGTGAAATCATTGGCCGGATAGTTTTAAGATTATAGATTCTAGATCAACATAAAAATCAAATTAATTCTATGCTACTTATGGAAGTAAAACCCCGATTAAAGAACCTACCGGAGCACAGCAATCCCAATCTGGCCCTTGTACGTGCTCACAGTCATATCCGGAGTAAACTTATTGAAGAATTTAGCTCCCAGTTTCTTCTCCGACACAAGTTCAACCAGGACCTTGAGTAGAGGATGGTTCACGATCATGCTCAGCGGGATTGTTGTCCCCATTACGATCTTGTAGATAGAATCCAGGTTCTTCTTGGACACGTCCTTGATCCCGAAGTGTTCGACTAGGAATTCTGCAGGAACGGTTTTTCCATGGAGCTTAATAAAAGCGATACTGAAGAGAAGAGAATCTAAACCTGCCTCGGAAATATTCAACTTAAAAGAATTGCCGATGGCATCAACAACTTCTGTGGGTGGTATGATCGATCCCTCTTGCAAAAAGTATTCAATGATAGCATTGATTACAATTAAATTGAGATAACCACGCTTAGATCCGTTCTCAATCAGGTTTTCTAGAACTTGAACCTTCTCAGGTTTAGTTTCAGGAACTCCTGCACGGAGCAGAGCAACGTTAGCCAGAATTTGTCCGAGGAGAAGCAAGCTCTCCTCTCCCTTGGATCCTGTTACCTTCAGGGTTGTCTTAATCTCAGAGTTAAGCTTGGAGGCTTCAATCTTGTTCAGACGGAAGAATTCCAGGAGACAGATGAAGAAACCTTGTCTTGAAGTCTCCACAGGGCTCGCCAGACCTCGGAGAAGACGCTTGAGGATATAATTGGACTCGGAGGGATTGGACACCAATCTTTTAATTATTTTAGAAGATGCATCGATTCTGGATGTATTCGTTTTAGCGTTTGAGAGAAGCCAAAATTTATCTAGTCCGCCTTTAGATTTAGAATTTGAAATATGTTCTTCATCCTCTTCTTTTTCCTCTCCCTCGAACTCCATCTCCTCTTCCTCCTCCTCCTCTCCTGATTCCTCTTCTCCAGACTCAAACTCTTCCTCAACCTGTTCAACAGCCACTACCATTCTATTTGATCACTTCAATCTGAAAAAAATTGACGCCATAAGAAGCAGAATCGAATATATTAAGTAAAAAGAATACGATTTTTGGACCCTTCCCCCCCCCCCCCATCTTGTGAGTTTTGTACGTCATTTTTTAAATAATTTTTAAGTAGTATAATAGCAGTAGGGTCCAATACTAGGACGGACCCAAGGATCCTTTAACAAATAACTTTAAACACACAAATTATCATAAATCAACCCGATAGAGTAATCACACCTGAAAACTTAGAAAAATTATTTTGAACTAATAAACTCTTATAATTTTTAAAGACATCTGTAGCCTCACACCGAAATAAAATTTGTGTTTAGCATTTCAAAAATATCAAAGATGTTAAAAATAATAAAATCCTTAAGAACGTTTTAATTCTATCGCAAGCTTAAGAACAATAACGGATAACCTAACTTGTTGCTCGCGAAGAGAAAGTAAATTCTTACTAAAATATATCTACTAGCAAACAAAAAGGAAAGTTTTTACATTTAGCGAATAATTTACCAAAGTTTCACTTCAGCTTGACATTCTCTAATTTCTGACTAATAACTCTAGAATTTAGGAAAAAATGTGTGTCAATTATTTATTTTACACATTTGCAGCGCAAATGCTTTAAAATGCCGCAATTTTGTTTAATGTAAGAGCATGTAGTCACAGTGTTTAAATAAAGAGGGACAAGAAACACTTAGAATTTTTTTATGGTTGTTTTTATATATCATATAATGAAAGAAAAAAATCTACATGGCTTCAAGCATTTTGTTTAAACTTTATTTGACACTGACAGAAAAAAATTCTTCTTTTTTGATTTAGTCCGCTGTGAATTGCGTAAAGAGCACTGAAATTCCTAAATAAATTTTTCATTCAATAAAGAAATAGAATTTTTCCTTTCCTCATTAAAAAAAAAATCTTCTTTTTCTTTATCTATGTATAATATATTGTTTATTTTTTAATATAAGAAAAGGAGTTCCAGGGTTCAAAACATTTAACTCGGCATTCTACCAATAAAACAAAGACGATTTATGTCTGCTATTTTTCTGAAGGATGAAAAGTGAAAACTGTTTTTAAAATCACAAACCATGAACTCTGAGCTCTGAACTAATCAGGCGTAAAATAAGTTATCAATTCAGTTATCGGAGGATCTTACCAAAATCATAATGGAGAAACAAGGAAAAAAATACAAAGTGTTTGAACGAATTTTGCTTGACCATTTCTTGAAAAAACGACGAACAGATTTAATTAATATTTTGTCTGGAGAAAGTCCTTGTTTCTACATTGACGGATATGAACTGTTAGATCTATCTGATATAGTTTTCACGAATCTAATGATTGATCCTGATAAATGGTTCCCTAAGCTTGATAGACTGGTTGCTATTGCTCTGGACAGTGTTCTAGAAGAATCGTCACAATCAGAGGTGATTATTATCAATTTTTCAAATCATAATCTTTTTTCTGCAAACCCCCTTAATCTTTTAACACATCAGAATTCTCTTTTCATATATATGAATTGATCTCGTGCTTTTTTATCTTCCATTGGTAAAACTCGGATTTTTTTATGTAATAAAAATACCTAAGTCGCGTGTTAGAAAAGCTCTATATGGCAAGTTTATTGATATTCACGTTTTCAAACGAAGTAGAATTTACCTAAGGTTTACTGTCGGAACGTTGATGACCTTCCTTAATTGAAAATAACTCTATAAATAACTCTCATTAAACTTTAACTAAAGGCCATGATTGTTTAGAAGGAACGGTCGAATTTGTCTCTAAAAGATAATGTCAGGCTCCGACTGTCATCCCTTCCTCAAGTTTCGGAGTTTCAGAAGATTTCTGTTCCTAAATGTGAAGATGTGGGATCAATTATTTCTTTGTTAGGTACCAAGTGAAAATTTTTTAAATTTCAGTGATGTTTATATTCTTTTCAACCCACTGATCCCAAAATAAATATTTTTTCTCCCAAAATTATAAAAATATATTTTTTGAGCACTTGGATCATTTATTTTATATTAGGAACTATAACAAAATCAACGCAGCCGCGGATGTTAACTAAGAGTAAGTTGGTCGAGTGTACAAAGTGTATGCATCAGTTCTCTGTCCTGGCTGATTACGTCCAGTACTATGAGTTCTCTCCTCCGTCCTTATGTCCCAACCCGGATGGTTGCTCCGGGTTCCAGTTTAAAGACAAGGAACAGTTTACAGGAGATAACTGTAGAGATTATCAGGTTAGAAACCTTTACACAACGTTAAATGAAATGCCAGGGTATATAATTTTAAGAGTCACATTATTCCCTGGGGGGAGGGGGGATTTTTGTTGTTGATATGTGGGGAAAAAAATGAAAAATTTTCATTCTTTTTGTTTCTTTAATGCCCACAATTTTAATTTTATGCTAAAACCTTGAATTAAATGTCCACCTAACTTCTGCGGAGTAAAAATGAATTTTAAAAGAGGGGGGGGGAGGCTGTGGGGATTTTTTTCTAGAAATTATATAGTTCACACCCCTAAAATTTAAATTTAAATTATGAAATGCATAAACCTGTATATTGTAGGAGGTTAAGATCCAGGAGCAGGTTTCCAACCTATCTCTGGGTAGTATACCCCGCAGTGTCTGGGTAACCCTGGAGGATGATCTAGTAGATTCTTGCAAACCTGGAGACGATATTCTACTCATAGGTTCGAGAATTTAGAAAATTTAGAGTCTAGAAATGGAAATTAATAGAGATTTTGTGATGAAAATCCTAATGGGGAATATTTGGATTAGAATTGTGGCTTTAAAAAGTAAGAACTTATATTAAATGTTTTATTATAAAAACTTTCTATTTTCCTCGGAAAAGGTTTTATCTAGAAGATATTTTAAGCATAAAAATATATTAAACATCTCTTAGAGATGGAATTTAAAGAATTTGAGCTGCGGTTTAAATCTGCCAAAACCCGGTTTAAATTAAGGGCCGGCTTAAATCTTGAAACATTTGATACAATTTTAAGTGGAACCAACCATATTTAAACCGCGGCTTAAATTTAAACCAATTTTCTTGGCATAGTGCCGTGNGTCACTAATGGGTTAATTTTTTCAATTTTTTTCCCCTAGGTTTATGGTCTGTACTTAGTGAAGCTTGCTGTAGCAGTCACCTTAGCAGGAGGAGTAGAGAGGATAGATACAGGAGGGAGTAGGGTTAGAGGAGAACCACACCTACTCCTAGTAGGGGATCCAGGTATAGAGTATTGTAGAGGAGAACCACACCTACTCCTAGTAGGGGATCCAGGTGTAGAGTATTGTAGAGGAGAACCACACCTACTAATATTAGAAGTTAAACTAAAGAGTTTTTTTTTCAATTTCAAGTTTGTATTTTTTTTAGATTTCATAAGGTTTGTTTTCAGGAACTGGTAAAAGTCAGCTGCTGAAGTATGGGAGTAGGATAAGTCATCGGTCCGTCCTGACCACTGGAATAGGTTCTACAAGCGCTGGTCTAACCGTAGCGGCCAGTCGAGAAGGAGGACAATGGCATCTAGAGGCGGGTGCTTTAGTACTGGCGGATGGCGGAGTATGCTGTATTGACGAGTTTAGTGGTATTAAAGAGGCGGACAGGTAAAAATAGACTTTGCTGGGAGTATTTTTTGATTCTTCGTTTGGTATCTTTTTCCATGATATTAAATAGTTCTCTCTAGTTCTGCTTAGAACCTGTATCCATTAGTATATGGAGCAGGATATTATCTAGTTCTGTTTAGAACCTGTATCCAGGTGGGTAAAGGGAAGAACGATAGAACTGAGATTGATCTTGTAATTCAGGGGATTAGTGTTCAGGTATTGTAGGGTGCTTCTATTCATAAATTCCGAACTCGGCTTTTTTAATGGATCTCAGAGACAACAGATCATTGATCACCATTTGTTATTAATTAAAGAGAAATTGATGGTTGTCACTAAATACAACCACTTAGGAATAGGTACTTTTTCTACCCGATTTTTCTGTTTAGAGGTTTTGATAAAAACCATCTTTTTTTAGACCTCTGTAACACGAGAGTAAAAAAAGATTTCTCTTCAGCAAAGCTACTGGACACTACATGCAAAAAATGAACCTGAAACCGTTTTTATTTTCCATGAACAGTGAATACTCATTTGCGCGAATGTTTCCTTTAACCCTGTTATGTGTAGGTGAACAATGACAAGAAGTTGCAGTGCAACGTGAACCCGGAGACAGAGATGGAGATAAAAAAGTTCTGGGAGCAGAACCTAGATATGCTCGGTAGGAACAAAATACTGGAGATGTTTTGTCCACAGGTAATTCACTTACAGGGAGTGTTCAAGAATTCACTTAAATATCTGACTTCCTTCTCTCATTTGCTTTCAGACTATCGTCTTCTATCTCGAATGGATGATATCTTCAAACAAAGCAGATATGTTGTTTTGAAAAAGGCTGGTCTAAGAAGCCTATTGCAAACTTGGAAACCGAGACGAGTTTTTGTTTTACAATATTTAAAATAATTCTTGTTATAGGTAGTTACGATCCGGAGAAATCTATAAGTGAGAATACTGCTATTGCGTCACCGCTTCTCTCCAGGTTTGATCTAGTTCTAACTCTCCTGGATACTAAGAACCCGGAGTGGGACATGATCGTCTCCTCGTTTATCCTAGAGGGGAAGGAACCTTTCAAGGAGAAAACCCCGGAGAGTAAACCCATTTGGAGTTTTGAGAAGATACAGGAGTATTTCTCGTATATTAAGAAGCTCTCCCCACTTCTGGGACCCGGAGCAAACTTAATCCTCTCCAACTACTACCAGAGACAGAGGAACACAGACTCCATGGACCAGGCTAGGACCACGGTTAGATTGTTGCAGAGCTGTATCAGGTTGGCCCAGGGGCACGCTAGGTTGATGTGCAGGGATGAGGTTCAGGTTCAGGATGCTGTATGTGCAGTTCTACTCCTCGAGTGCTCAACCTCGTCCTCTGCCAGCCTTGTCAAGGGAGGGAACGCTTTACACACAACCTTTCCCCTGGATCCTTTGGAGGAATACAAAACACAGGCTAAACTCATCCTGACAGGACTGAACCTTCACCATCTTTGGGTTGCGGAGAAAGACAGGATAGATCGACTAAAATCCTGCTCCGGATCCGTTTCTGCATCCCAGTGTCAAACTCAGGTTCCTCCGAGAACTGAGAGAGATAAGAACCTGTCCCAAGTGATGAAAGCAATTCAGATCAATCGGTTACCCTCCTATCCTACTCCAGATATAGAGATTAACAAGAAGAAAAGAAAACGACGGGTCAGAACTCCAGAGGAAAAGGCGGAGACAGGAGATAAGAACGAAAACTTTAATCCGGAGCCGGAGGTTTTCATCTCCTCGGAGGAGGAATCGGAGAAAGGAGAAGAGAAGCGGAGAAAAAAATCAGAAGAAAAAAAGACGAATAAACGAGATTCTGGATCCGAGAGCATAGGCTCTGAAAGCGAATCAGCTGATGTAATAACCTCTACTCAAGTGATGCCACGTGTTAAAAAGAAGATCCAGGATTCATGTTTTCTGTCTCCTCCTGAGCTCGAAGCGGATGTATCCTGTATCCCAAGGTTTCCGGCAGTTGGAATCTCTCAGGAGGATGAGCCCCAGTCTCCGGGTTCTCCTGGAGTACCAAGAGTTCCATCTCCACGAAGTTCTACTACTCTGAGCAGGAAAACTTTAAAGAAACTCCAATCCTTTTCAAAACTTGACGACTCGGAGACGGAGAAAGAGAAGAAAATCTCGTCCGAAGATTTAGATACGAGTCCAAATAAATCCGAACTTAATTTAGTCCTAGAGAATAATTCAGATACCTCATCTTTCAATCAACAATCGCAAGAAAATAGTTGTTCAATACAAACCGATCCTTGCTCTAATATCAAACCTAGTTCCAACTCTGTAAACATCTCTAGAGCTAATTCGATACCCAGAGATAGTTTCAAGTCCAACTCAACAACAAAACCCAAACACGAACTGACCTCTGATAAGTTAAATTCTCTAATGAGTAAGATTAAGAAGGTTTCCAAAGATCCCTTACTCCAGAGTAACTCAACCTTGGAGATGGAACAAGATTTAGATTTGGATTTTGACTTTGATCTCTAGCTAACCTTAATACCTCTAGGTTCACCTTAATACTCGAGTCTTCTCAACATTATTTAAAATGAAGCTTACTTTGGGATCCATTTACAATGCGCTTTAATAATATTTAGAAAGTTCATAAATGTCTTTTAGACTTTTTTTTAAACGGCCCTAGATGGTAAAGAAACTTAAAATATATGAGCAGTCCCTTCAAACATTTCTTTTTCATATGTAAAATTACAGACTGCCATGGGAAGAAAAATGTCAGGCCCACCTAAACTGTGATAAATTATTGTTGATCTATTTTCAGAGATAAAATGTTGTAATGCCGAACCAGGATAAACCTCGTCCTTCCTCGCCCCCTGTTCCGGGTCCGTCCAGCAACTCAGGGGAGAGTCCTGCTCCAGTTAGAAGGTAATTTTACTATACCTCATTGAAAACACATAATTGGACATGTTTTTCTTGAAGAAATAGCTAATCATACATAATTTTTAAAGTTTTAGGAAAAATTGTCCACCTCAATTTTACCTTTTGTGAAACTTTTCCTATAGTAAGTCTTCAAAAGTCATTTAGTTTTAGAAAATAAGCTTTTAACTTTTGCACTTTGCACACAAAGGAATTGAGTCGTTGCCACAAACTAAAAACTTTTGTATCCCTATATCTGTGCAATCTGATGGTGTAGACGACCTTTATAATTTAAAATTTTATATTATTTGATCTAACAGAGTTTATAATTCGAAACATTTAAGGTCTACGACATTGGGTTACAAAGATATTTGGATTAGAAATTCAGGCTTCGTGGCAAAGATTCAATTCCTCAATGCGGTTTATAAAATACGATATGAAGTTGATTAATCTTTGTTTAATAAAGAAGAGAAGAGCCGACTATGGAGAGTCTAGCCGAAGTGTTTCGTTGTTTTATCTGTATGGAGAAGTTAAGGAACGCCCATCTCTGCCCTCACTGCTCCAAGCTTTGTTGCTACATGTGTATCAGGTGAACTAAAACAGACACGCCCAATTTTTAAAATCTATCTAGGTTTCATCAAATAGACCATCTCGTCTTTTTAGGAATTCGCCATGTTTAGTTTATTTTGAAATCCAGTTTAAACAGGAATCTTGAGTTTTGAGGCGTATTATCCCCCCCCCCCCTGAATCAATGGAGGGTTGTCCTTTAATAATCATAATAATCTTCGGATTAAAGGGACTGTAAGTGAAATAATTCAAGTAACCCTCCATGAAAAGATAGCAAGCCCGATTCACAATCGTACAGTTAAAAGATTTGTTTGATCAAGCATGGTCAAGTATGAATTAGATATCTGCAGGAAAACATTTAGAAAGTGAACAATTTTAAACCTTATAAAACGACGTTATATTTCACATGATAGATCATAGAAAGGTTTCAAGGGTACCATTGAGAATCAGGCATTGTCATCTTTGAACTTAGGGTCACTTTAAATTAAGCTGACAGTCCCTTTAATGGCTTAAAACATTACTTTGAAAGTACAAAGGATTGAATTCATTGAATATATAATAGAATAGTTATTAGTTAATACTAGTTATTAGTTAATACCAAGTTGGCTCTATAGAGTACAATAATCATAAAAGAACAAAATTCAAAGGATCTTCCAGTTGACTGACATTGTTAAGAGGTAAAGAGTACAAAGTACATAAAATACTAGCTTATACTCTTTTTGTAACCGTCAATATTCAATGAACACAGCAAAAAGGTTTTTTATTCAAAATTACTCGAAACATTTCACGTTAAAACGAGAAACTATTTTTTTTAAATCTAGAGCTTGAAATATGCTTTGGAAGAATTCTTAATATTATTTTACTAGACGTTGGTTAACTGAGCAGAGATCTCAATGCCCGCATTGCCGCGCTTCCTTGCATATTCATGAACTGGTCAACTGCCGCTGGGTAGAGGAGGTCACCCAACAGTTGGATAATTTAAAGGTAAAAGTGTTGTTGATAGTGCACTTTAGAAGTAGTTCAACTAGCCATACCTGGTTCAACTACTTCTCCCTATTCATTAAATTTGACCTCGGCTTTTAAATGTAAAAAAAGAAGAATAAAGTTTGACCATTTTAAGCGAAAACTTTTGAGATTATGTTTTATAATGAATGCTTTCTTATACTTACTTGAAAAAGACTCACCTGTTTACACTTTTATTCATTGTGAATGTTGTCAAGGATGTAGGAGGAGCTGGTGTTGGAGGAGGAGGAGGAGACGGACGCCCTCTCCAGGATAAATGTGAACTACACCAGGAGAAGCTGAGCGTATACTGCTGGACGTGTAGTATCTGTATCTGTCATCAGTGCGCTCTGTGGGGAGGAAACCACTCCGGTCATACTTTTAAACCTCTAGATGATATTTACTCCCAACATGTTGGGAAGGTAAGAGAGGAGGTGGCCCTGCTCAGGAGAAGGTTGATGGAACTCATCTCTTTAGGACAGGAGGTCGAACGGAACGTTGAGAGTGTTCGTGCCGCCAAGGATGAACGAGTTCGTGAGATAAGGAACGCGGTTGAGCTTATGATCGCCAGGTTGGACTCCCAGCTCAAGAGTAAGCTCCAAACCTTGATGTCCCACAAGAACGGATTGAACCAGGAGACAGAGCAGGTTGAGCAGCTGCTGGCTAGTATTGAGTCTCAGCTCTCTACTGAAACCAAGGGCCAGCTTATCGCTAAGAGTGGAGAAATATTGCAGCTCGCCCTTGCAGCAAATAAAAAACCAATTCCAAGCTTTGCTACTGCACAGGTAATTTTTTTTTGATTTTTATCTCTTAATTTTCTAGCAACAACAAAAATTAAGCTTAAACAGTTTTCATGAACAGTTGAATTAATCCTGTTATCGAAATTGAAATCCTTTAACGTTTTAAAAATTACGAAACTGTTCCAGGTTCAGCCTCATTTCCAGTCTGAGATTGTACCCCTGTACGACGAGAAGAGCTTTACGTTAACGAACTTCTCCTCCCTGCAGAGCAAGGCGGATCCTGTATACTCTCCGCCACTACATGTAAACGGACTCAGCTGGAGACTAAAGGTAAAGACGGAGATAATTAAATTGTGTGGCGGAGATAGATAAATTTATTTATTAGTTTAAATCAATGAATGACGGAGATTATGTTTGTCAGTGCTTAGGATCCGGATCCAGATTCCCTTGATGCGCAACATTTTAGCTCTCTTGATCCGGATCCGCAAAAAAAAATATTTGAACAGTTGATATTGTAACCTATCCTATATTAAGGTGTACCCTGATGGGAACAGTGTATAACTTATCCGATATAAAGGTGTATCCTGATGGGAACAGTGTATACTGTATAACCTATCCTATATTAAGGTGTACCCTGATGGGAACGGTGTGGTACGAGGGAACTATCTCTCCGTGTTCCTGGAGCTAAGTGCTGGGCTCCCTGAAACCAGCAAGTATGAGTACAGGGTTGAGATGGTTCACCATGGTCGAGATACAAATAAGAATATTGTCCGGGAGTTTGCGTCAGACTTCGAGGTCGGGGAGTGCTGGGGATACAACAGGTCAGTTGGGATTAATGAAGATCATCGAGAAAATTAATTTATTAAAATAGTAATTGAGAAATTAGAAGATCCCAAAAATTTGGCCTCGGCCAAAAAGATACCGCGAAAATAACAGTTAGCGGTTTTTTATGGATTAAGCACTGAAAGTTGAGTTCAGGCGTTCTTGTTCAAAAAATTCGACTTCATTTTATTCAAAAAAATCAATTCTTTAATGCACAATTATCATTGTAGGTTTTTCCGCCTGGACCTACTCGCTAGTGAGGGATATCTCAACAGCAATAGTTTAACCTTAACATTTCAAGTTAGAGCCCCAACCTTCTATCAGAAAAGTAGAGATCAGCAATGGTACATTCAGCAGCTCCAGACCCTTCATACACAATATGTTTCACAAATATCGGAGCTTAGATCCCGTCTCTGTGCTCCGACTCCGTCCGACCTAAATCCGTTGGTAAATTTACCCCAGCCCCAACCTATGCCTCGTCTTCGGTCCTCACGCCGTCTCCAGGCTGACTCGGAGACAGTGGAAAGCGGTCGTCTCTCCAGCTCCAGTGAGAGTGAAGGGGAAAGTAGTGAGATAGAGGAGAGTATCGGAGAAAGCAATGCTAGTGCTGATCATCCGATCCCTTTCTCCGAGTTGGATCCTGATCCTCGGTTCGAGTTTAAACACCTGATGAGCTCCAGTCTACCAGCAAGTACGGAGATGTTTCGATGTTCTAAAGAATCGTCCTCTGCCACAAACTCAACTGCATTTGCGGAGAGTTCGTCACAACTTTCTCAGCGTTCAGGAAGAAACTCGGCTTTAGAGGATGAACTCATGCTTCTGAGATTGCTTGATCTTCATAAAACCTCCCGGGAAAACTCCAGTGCTCCGATATATAGACCGGAGAATGATACTGCTGCGTCTCTAACCGCAAGTCCTTTCCATTCGGAGAGTCCACTCCCAGTCCTTCCTCTCAATCATAACCATAGATTGAGTTCATCCCTCTCCACCAATATAGAGTTTGCTTTCGGAGCAACAGCTGTAGAAACTCCGCCCTCAACTCCGTTCCTCCCTGTAGACTTGTTTGCTCTTGAACCTGCGCTGCGAGCGGAACGAGGAGATTTTCGTCCTTTTGAGACAGTTACTCGGGACTGCTCGGAGAGGACAACTGATCAACTTGATAAAATTGCGCCAAGACCATCTCTAGTCCTAGATCAGATCGGTAGGATTTTGATAAATGTTTAAGTATTCAGTATTCAAGTGTTGATAATTTGTCTTAAAATCTAACTTAATTAGTTGTATTCTTATTTTTATTGCACTTTTTATTCGTTGACTATAGGTTTTTTAAAATAAGATTTTAAACCATTTTAATTATTTCTTTTCACTATTCAAAATTAAAATCATACCAAGACATTTTTTTTTATTTCGGCTAAACTTCTTCCGGGTTCATGTGAGTTGGAACAAACATATTTAGTCCAGTAGTTCAGCCGTTTTGAAGTTTATTGAATACAAACCTTCAGATCAGCAAAATATATATAGATTTAGAGATTTAAGTTCCTACACGGTTACACTCAACATTTTGTTGCGTAAATTTTATTATAAAAATTATATCGACGCAATAAGAGGGAGGTTTATATCAATTTCATACTTCACTTGATTTTCTATTGTACTGGGCCACACACACTGTAATTTATCTGAACTACAATGAAGAACTGACAAAATCGATGCTCAGCCATTTGAATAAAGCACAATTGAAACACGATATTTTTAAAGGGACTGGAAGCGTAATTTCAAGTGACCCTTCATTCAAAGATGGCAATGTCTCATTCACAACGGTACCTTTGAAACCTTTATTTTATTCGATCAATAATTAGGAAGATATTGTTGCTTTTCTAGGTTTTCCCGCAGTAGAAATACGCAAGTCACTTTTATAGAGAAACCACAATTGTAAATAATCATTTTTCAAAATTAAAAGCATTGATATCTATTTTATACTTTATCAGACAAAGCTTTCAAGGGTACTGTTGTGAATCGAACATTGTCATCTTTCCATGTAGGTTCACTTGAAATTACGCTTACAGTCCCTTTGATTCTCTTAACCATTCTCACATCCTAGTTTGCATTTTAAATTATTAAGCGCAAACTTTTTGATTTATTTCTAACTAAACTATAAGAATATGACAATTCCAGATCTCAGTTCTCTCCGACTGTCAGCTGCAACCCCGGAGTTTAGAATTCAGGGGATGGATTCGAATATCGGAGATATGAATCAATCCATCCCATCTCATCCGTTATCTCTACCGGAAGCTTTGCAGCCTGAATGTATTGAACCTAGTAACTCGGAGAACCTTGAACCTAGCGAGTCCGTCCCTAAACCTGAGACAAGCAGTTCCTCCTACTCTGATACACATACACCAATCTCAAGCAGCTTATCTGCACCCTGCAGCTCTCAACGCAGTACTGATGCTGCTCCTTCTGAAACTGGCAGCTCCGGAGAAGAGCCGAAGGAAGCTAAAAAAGATCAACCAAACTGAACATTCTGAATCTTTGCATTTTTATTTAATAATCTTTAATTATTAAGTATTAACCATTCTATTATTAGTAAACTATAATCAATTAACCATGAGCTATATTAACAAAATCAACTACTAAATCAAATATTAGTCTATATGGAATAAAAATGTTTTTGTTGAAAGTTTAAGCAATAATTTCTGTTTCACTGTTCGAAGTAACATTTTGCTTGTAATATTGACAGAACGAAAATGTTTCGAAGTTTGAACATTTTTTTTAAATTATGAACAGATATTTTGGGATATCTAAAAATTTTACATTCTGTTTGAAATTACGAACAATATCTTCATAATTTCGATATTATTTCTATAAGTCATTAAATGTTTGGCTTTCTTCAAACAATTTATGTTATCCAAAATTTTTTGGGAGGAATTAAAATTAATTATAAAAATATTTGGAACGCTTGGAAACTGGGAATGTTTTTGGATATAAGTCCTATTATGTTAATTAGTAATCAAAATTGTGTACACATTCCGTTTTCAGTCCAAGTTAAACAATACTGAAGCTAAAGAATTTACTCTTCGACACAAACTCTGATTTTCTAAAGTCTCCCTGTCTTTGCAACCCAATGTCGTATTTCAAACTATTATTTCGTTATATCAAATAATATGAGCTTTAAATAAATGGTTTACATCATCGACTTGCAAAGATATAAAGATTAGGAAACTTGAGTTTGTGGCAAATACTCTTTCGTTAGTCCAGTTTCCAACTTTTTTGTTGTGTAACCAAAAAAAAAATATTTATTCAAATGTACTCAAACTATAGTAATAACATTTATTTTGTACAAAATCGTTTTCAAGTTGTCTTTTACTAACAGGACGTGCCTTTAGTGCGTTTTCTTTTAAAATTAAATAAAGCATATTTAATATTATAAATTGATGATTTAGTAAGAAATAAATATGTTTGTATCAATGAATCCTATTCTGGAGGTAAACATTCATTAGGATGGGCATACCTTACATACAGGGTGTCCCACGAAACATGACAGTATGCAGGACGACTTGAATGTCGTCTTGATTTTTGATACAATTTGCTGCGTTTATTTGTCAACCTAATTTTAGAAGTAAATTTCTAGAGATAATAATCACAAAATTTCACTTGTCCTGCCATTTCCAAAATGTGGTCTGCCTGTTTTGTGCTTTCAATATTGCCCGAGATATGTAGAATTTCGTTCAGATTTCGACAATTTTGCTTTTATTTGAACAAAATTGAAATCTGAACCAAACTCTTTATATCTCCGGTAATATTGAAAGCACAAAAAACGCAGACCACTTTTTGGAAATGCCAGGGCTAGGAGAATTATGTGATAATTGTTTCAAGAATCATACATGTTAAAGTAGATAGAAGACTAAATGTCACAAATAAATTCAAATACCAAAGACGACTTTCAAGTCGTCTTGCTATTGTCATGTTTCGTGGGACACCCTGTATATAAATTTATACTGGCTTAGATGTTATATCGTTTGCACTAATGTCCGATTGAACTAACGTACTTTTGCACTAAAGTCAGCTGATCAGTAACACTTGTGGCCGTAGCGCCCGGCCCCCTAGGCTGTCCTAACCGCGGCGCTCGGTCCCCAAGCCTGTCCTAGCCGCGGCGCTCGGCCCAGAAATTGTCTTAACCTAACCTAACCCTCAAAGAAAACGTTAGTCCGAATGAACGTTTGTGCGAATGTACGTTAGTCCGATCAATCATTAGTGCGAACGATACGACACCCTGGCGTACCAACAAACACAATATTTATGGACGAATGTTAAAAATGTTTTGAGCCATTTTTATTACATTTTTGGTGCCGTGCAATCGTTAACTTGGTTTTTAATTTGCGAAACCAGTAAAAAAAATGCGCGTGTTCATTTTTTTAAATTTCGCTCATTGTCCTTTTACAGCGTAAAGACAATCGTTAAAATTAACCTAATTTCAGCTAAACAACTTAGGATATCTCATATATCCTTAATCTTTCAAAAGTTTTAAGGGTAACAAAATGAATCGGCCGTGCCACGTATATGGAGCCTATTGAAATTACGACTTCACTACGTAGTGTTTAAGTCTCGTCTTTTTCTAAAAAGGAGGCTATGAGGCTTATGAGAGATATAAAAGTTTTAAAAAGAAGGCTATGAGGCTTATGAGATGTGTAAAAGTTCTAAAAAGGAGGCTAAGAGGCTTATGAGAGGTATAAACGTTCTATAAAGGAGGCTAATAGGCTTATGAGAGGTGTAAAAGTTCTAAAAAGGAGGCTAAGAGGCTTATGAGAGGTATAGTTCGAAGAAGGCCTAGCAACTTCATCCAATGTGGTACAATTGGCACTCTAAGAATTGATTGCATGATTTACAATATTACCCCTTGAACCTTTGCCATTAATACCGCATTGACGGAGATCTCATTGTTTTCTATCTCAAAATTAGTAGTTTTCAATCGGGGTCTTTACACATGTGACATGCGGATTTATTTAGCTGGAAAGAAAGGAAAATTGACAGAATTTATAATTTTCAAAACATTGAAGATGAAATTCAAACAATTGACAAATTATTATATTTGAAGGACATAATGCAAAAAGTAAATCTAGAAAGACTGCAAAGCAGGGTTCCCACAAAAATGAGACTGTGATTACATAGATTCAGCCTGCTTTTAAAAAGTCTCATCACTTTTTAAGACAGGGTTGACTTTGAAGTGTCGCAACGCCTTGGGCTTAACATGTACATTTTAGCACCATAAAGCCCTTGTGGTTAGCTTTGGTTTTTAAGAAGTAATTGGCAAAATTCTCACCGATTTTTGACTAAGTGCTTGAGACCTTTGAATCACAGTGTGATAGCGACCATAAGATTTAATTCGGTTTCTGCCTTGTAGTATTTTAATGACATATAAATGGGTTTGCTAGGGAAGAAACAAGTTTATAACCGAATTGAACCTTTGACGAAAAAACCAAAAATGGATTCCGTAAAGTCGTCTTTGATGTCTCAATCTTTTTGGTTAACCCTGTATGTATAATACTTGATGGTTCTCATTTTGTAAGTGTACTGATTACCCCCCGGGGATGTTTGTGTACGAATACTGAAACATCTGTAATGAATCAACTTCAACAAGTTTTATATGTAGTTTGGTGTTATCCTGACTGTGAAGAATGATAATCGAGGAATTATGATTTTTCTCCGTTTTTTACCTAGTTAAAGGGACAATCTACATATTTTCAAGTGTCTCTCAATTTAAAGCCCTTTTAATTGGATTCACAATGAGAAATTATAGCCGTTTTTCTGTCTTGGAAAAATATAAATTCTGTCAATTTACTCCATTTACCCTCTGAATAGATTCGTTAATCACTTTTAACAGAAAACTGTTCACTATGAAATCTATTTAGCTTATTTTTTTTTATCAGACAGAGTTTTAAAGCCAGGGTACACTTGTAAATCCTTCTCCTCCTACCCCATCCTTCTCCTACTCCCTCATTCTCCTCCTACCCCATCCTTCTCCTCCTACCCCATCCTTCTCCTCCTACTCCCTCCTTCTCCTCAGAATAATTTGCATAATTAATTATTTTTGCATAATTAAATCTTNCTTCTACTCCCTCCTCCTACTCCCTCCTTCTCCTACACTTCACCCACTATCCCATCAATTTTCCTACTTAACCTCCCTCCCTTCCCTCTTCTTGTCAATATTCATCTCCAAATGATGGAAGACCATATTTTCTAATGGGCTAAAGCAAAAGTTTCTCTGCTCCTAAAACAAAGATTATGATTCAACCTTACTCAATACAATAATTAAACCCCCCTGGGCCCTCCTCTCCTTCCCCCCTCTCTCTCCAGATCCCCCAAAGACCAGATACAAAGCATACACAAACCATAAACAAATTACAGCATGAAAGAATATGTTACCAAAGTATTTGAGACTGCAGTCATTAACTCTCCGTGTTGTAGATACTACCCTGAGCTAAACCTACAGGTTCTACGTACATTCTACCAGGAGTAAGGGATTGTGCCAAACCGACACTTTTCCCTGAATAATACATGCAGTGTGACAATTAGACCTCCTTGCAGTGTATGGGAGAACCCGGGGTGAAATTAAATTTCTACGAGGTCCGGAGTAGGTTTGGACTCCAGGACTCCAGTTTGGGGAAAGCTTGTTGGCCTGGTTCTGCTCTCCAGTAGTTCTCCAGTAGTGGTGGAGAGCTAAGGAGACCCGGAGCTGTGGAACCCAACCCTGATATTTCTCCGTCCCGGTGATAAAAATATACAGTTAACATGTGAAAAATGAGAAACCTAGGATCGAAAAACTAAACTAGGTTCGGAATATCTTCTCCATACTTTAACATTAAAATACCTATATAATAGAGGTGTATAAGTTCTGAAAAGGAGGCTAAGAGGCTTATGAGAGGTGTAAAAGTTCTAAAAAGGAGGCTAAGAGGCTTATGAGAGGTATAAAAGTTCTAAAAAGGAGGCTATGAGGCTTATGAGAGGTATACAACTTCTAGAGGATCCAGATTCCCTTGATGCGCAACATTTTAGCTCTCTTGATCCGGATCCGCAAAAAAAAATATTTGATGGGAACAGTGTATAACTTATCCGATATAAAGGTGTATCCTGATGGGAACAGTGTATACTGTATAACCTATCCTATATTAAGGTGTACCCTGTTAGATTATAGATACAGGGAATAGTATAAGGAACAGTAGTCTGGCTAAATTATAGATACTGGGAATAGTTTAAAGAACAGTTGTCTGTTTAGATTATAGATACAGGGAATAGTATAAGGAACAGTAGTCTGTTTAGATTAGAGATACAGGGAATAGTATAAGGAACAGTAGTTTAGTTAGATTATAGACACAGGGAATAGTATAAGGAACAGTAGTCTGGTTAGATTATAGATACAGGGAATAGAATAAGGAACAGTAGTCTGGTTAGATTAGAGATACAGGGAATAGTATAAGGAACAGTAGTCTAGTTAGATTATAGATACAAGGAATGGTAGGAGGAACAGTTGTCTGTTTAGATTATAGATACAGGGAATAGTATAAGGAACAGTAGTCTGGCTAAATTATAGATACTGGGAATAGTTTAAAGAACAGTTGTCTGTTTAGATTATAGATACAGGGAATAGTATAAGGAACAGTTGTCTGTTTAGATTAGAGATACAGGGAATAGTATAGGGAACAGTAGTCTGGTTAGATTTTAGATACAGGGAATAGTATAGGGAACAGTTGTCTGGTTAGATTAGAGATACAGGGAATAGTATAAGGAACAGTAGTCTAGTTAGATTATAGATACAGGGAATAGTATAGGGAACAGTAGTCTAGTTAGATTAGAGATACAGGGAATAGGATAGGGAACAGTTGTCTGGTTAGATTATAGATTCAGGAAATAGTATAAGGAACAGTTGTCTGTTTAGATTAGAGATACAGGGAATAGTATAGGGAACAGAAGTTTGGCTAAATTATAGATACAGGGAATAGTATAAGGAACAGATGTCTGTTTAGATTAGAGATACAGGGAATAGTACAGGGAACAGAAGTCTGGCTAAATTATAGATACAGGGAATAGTATAAGGAACAGTTGTCTGTTTAGATTAGAGATACAGGGAATAGTACAGGGAACAGAAGTCTGGCTAAATTATAGATACAGGGAATAGTATAAGGAACAGTTGTCTGTTTAGATTAGAGATACAGGGAATAGTATAGGGAACAGAAGTCTGGTTAGAATATAGATACAGGGAATAGTATAGGGAACAGTAGTCTGGTTAGATTATAGATACAAGGAATAGTATGAGAAACAGTAGTCTAGTTAGATTATAGATACAGGGAATAGTATAAGGATCAGTTGTCTGGTTAGATTATAGATACAGGGAATAGTATAAGGAACAGTAGTCTGGTTAGATTATAGATACAAGGAATAGTATAGGGAACAGTAGTCTAGTTAGATTAGAGATACAGGGAATAGTATAGGGAACAGTAGTCTAGTTAGATTATAGATACAGGGAATAGTATAAGAAACAGTAGTCTAGTTAGATTATAGATACAGGAAATGGTATATGAAACAGTTGTCTGTTTAGATTATAGATACAGGGAATAGAATAAGGAACAGTTGTATGTTTTTTTTTTCTTTTCGATATTAAAACTTTAAAAATATTATAAAAACTGTTTAACAATTTGCCTGTTTTTATAACCATTCTTTCGAACATTTATTCACTCTACTTTTCAATTTAATAATTAAATATTTTATCCTCTTTTTGTTAATCCATTTAAGTTCACGAACCTGTTTTCTTTATATTCTTTAGTTAAACATTTTTATTTTTTATCCTTCCCAACTTTTCTGTTGGTTGAATATGTAAACAAACAAAAAATTCGTTTAAAAGTTTGAAAAGTTTTAAAAATAGTTTTGGCAATGGCCTCCTTCCCTTCCTCTTTGCACATTTTATATTCAGATTTGGAATTTTATAAAAACAAACTGTAAAGAAATAATAAAATATAGTGGTAAGCGCCGATTACAACATTTATCAAAATTTTTTTATTCGACGGTTCTGACAATAATTAGATTGATAAATTTGCATTTGGATTTGGGGTTGGAAGAAATGAAATTACAAAAATAAAATCAAATTTTGGTTTTCTTAAAGAATCGTATTAAGTTATAAAGCTGGAGTTAAGACTTAAACATTAGAAAATTAGGAAAAATTATCTTAGTCGGAAATTATACCAAAGGATATAAAAATTGCTAATTTTAAACAAAATTTCGTATTAAGGCTTTCATATTTTGAATTAGGGCTGAAACAGAATGTAGATTATTGGATGGCAATTAGAGTTAAAAATATGTGTGAGAGAAAACTCTAAAAAAATCCTTTCTAGCGTAAATAAATATTGAAAAATTAAATTAATTTTTAAGTTAATTAAATTAGGAAGGAGGTTTAAGGTGTATAGTTTAAATGAGTATGCTAAAAAATGAATATTATGTACGGAATAAAATAAATGATTTGATGTAAAACAAGTGAATAAGTGAAAGGGTAAGAACTTAAGTAAATTAGTGTAAAAGGATTGATCTTAAGTAAACCAATGTAAAAAAACAGATCTTAAGTCAGGATTAAATCTGAGTGAAATTAGTATAAATTGGATTAAATAGGAACTAAGTAAGTATAACATGATAAGATATGGAGTAAGTTAACATAAGAAAAATTAAATCTGTATTACCTAAATTTTAAAGGATATGTGCATGTAAATTGGATTAAATCTAAAGTAAGTAAGTTTAAAAGGATTAAAACAGTAAGGTAGGATTAGAAAGAAAACTTTAGCTGTAGGATTAGAATGGGTGTGGGGTGTCGTAGTATCTCTGCAAAGTCCTCGTAGCTCTGATGCTGGTCATATTAAAATTTTATGTTAATAATACATATACAGTGTGTTCATGGTTCAGTATACCAAATTCTGCAGCTAATCTTAAGAATTGCGCATTACAAAATCTGGGAATACAAAAAATCTGAAAATTAACCATTTTGCGCATTTACGACATGAATTTGAAATCTAAATTAATTGAAATAATTTATTTATATGAAGTGGTAAACATAGTTTGTTGGTTTGTTTGTATGTCAAACCATAACTCGCCCCGAGTGATCGATTTACTCAGACTGTTGTTGGCTTGGTTTAGAAATTTGAAACTGTATTTGTTGACTTTTACAGGAAAACTTTAGACTTCCGAGTAAACCTGACTTTTTTCAGCATATTTTTATGTCGTTTTTTTCTTTTTTGTCGGCATATGCATCTTCATACGTTTAAACGTTTTAAAAGTATAAAATGACAACTCCGTATATTTAAAGATTGTTGAATTATAGATAAACAATAAACATGTGATTAAATTCTAATAGAAGAAACTGAATGCATCTCACCCCTGGTTAGTCTGGGATGTATTTTGAATTATTATGATAAAGATGAAGATGAATCAGGATATCATCCCTTCTTATTATTTCCATGGATTCCATGAGATAAAATAGATTTCTATAAATGAACCAGTCGGATATTTTCTTCTGGAGGATTTGTTCTCAATAACCCTTCATGGTTTTATGTGTCAGCACATCTGATGGTCTGGATAGAAGAATTGCATGCTTTAAAGTTCATGTTTCAGGTTGAAAAAGGGTTTGGACATATTCACGTCAAGCTAAAGTAAATTTCATTTAAGAATGAAATCTTATATTTTTTATTTAATCATAACTTCTCTCATTGAAAAGCTATGAAGATGTTTTGAATTTTAACCAAAATAATTTGGTTTTCTCATACTTAATAAAGGTAATAATTATAGAGGAGCTACGAGGTCACCAAGTTGGAAAATGATTTCATTTGACACTTCATGATTTCATGTAACCCTTCCTGATTTCATGTGACCCTTAATGATTTTATGTGACCCTTCATGATTTCATGCGACCCTTCATGATTTCAAGTGACCCTTAATGATTTTATGTGACCCTTAATGATTTCATGTGACCCTTAATGAGTTCATGTGACCCTTAATAATTTTGATGTTACCCTTAATGATTTCATGTGACCCTTAATGATTTGATCATGGACCCTTAATGATTTTTACCATGGACCCATAATAATTTCAAGTGACCCTTAATGATTTTATGTGATCCTTAATGATTTCATGTGATCCTTAATGATTTCATGTGACCCTTAATGATTTCATGTGACCCTTAATGATTTTATGTGACCCTTAATGATTTCATGTGACCATTAATTATTTTATGTGAGCAATAATGATTTCATGTGACCCTTAATGATTTTATGTGACCCTTAATGATTTCATCATGGCCCCCTAATGATTTCCTGTTACCCTTAATTATTTCATGTGACCCTTCATGATTTCATGTGATCCTTCATGATTTCATGTGACCCTTAATGATTTCAAGTGACCCTTCATGATTTCATGTGACCCTTAATGATTTCAAGTGACCCTTCATGATTTCATGTGATCCTTAATGATTTTATCATGGACCCCAAATTTAAAAAGTTTCATTCCCGGTTCTCTAGTCTACAGACCCAATATATATACACGTCTGAACAAAATTAATAACAACCCATGTGCTTTTCTGAAAATCGATAATTCAATAATTTCTTTGAGACTTGCGGATATGAATGCAATACAGATAAAGAAGAAAATGGACAGAATCAATCTATTTCAAGATATCGTCCTCATTGTTACTCAGATAAAGATCTAAAAGGTACCAAAGTGAATGGGGAATGACTATCTTTAAATGAAGAATCAATGGAAATGACGTCGATGTTCTTAGATATCTTATATTTCAAGGAAC